TAGAAATACATCCAATAAGGCTCTTAGGAAAGCCTTATGTGGAAGTACATGGAAAGGCATGTAATGTTGTATCATCAGTTAAAAATAAAAGCATAAAACTGCAACAGGCAGACAGCTTCAGCACCAGCAGGAGACACCAAAGAGTCCCAACCAGTGATGTAGTTCAAGAATACCCCTGAAGCTTTGGACCCAAATCATTTAAACCTGAGGCTCAACCCACAAAGTGGTAGTTCAGATACAAGAGGCATGTTACTTGACATGTGCTCACCAAACCAAGTACAACTCACAATGGAAATGACGAAGAAGCATTCACAGTCTAAATTTTTTTTTTAATGTGATACTACTACAATCACAAGCAAAATATCTGGCAATAGGAAACTGGCAAGGAGGTACTCGAGCAAGGTTCCAAGTGTAAACTCTTTGTATGAATGTAGAGCTCAACACCAGAACTTAGGCCATGGCCAGGGTAGTGGCCATACTCAATAGGTGATGTTACAACACTGAATATTGCAATGAAATCACAATGGTGTGATATGTCAATGAAAATTATTTTGAGGCAATGAAATGACTTGAACTTGCATTCTGGTAATTCCCAGACACCTGCCTTAACCAACTCAGCAACGGTTGTACAACTCAGCACCTTTGAATTTCCACTGTCATTTTGCCTCTGGACTATGTGGCAAGACTATTTGAAAAGTAACATGTCATGGTGAGTCTCAAAGTCAACAAGGGCCTGGTGTGCAAGTTGTGTTCTGGATGGGTCCTGGACCAAGCATGAAGAGCAGCCAAGAGGGTCCTGCTTAGAAACGTTTGCCAATGAATATATGAATGAACAAACCCAAGTGAGGCTAAATAAAAGTGTAATAAATGGGGTAATTTTATGTTTGAAAATTTACACTTGCATTAAATGCTCACAAAATAGAAAAATTATTTCATCTAAATGTTATCATAATTCACACGCACAGTTTTAAAAAAAATTCTTGGGGGATGGAGTGGGTGTCAACTTCGACCTATGACTTAAAAGCAGAGTATATCACAGAGATATATTATTATATTGGGCAATCCAAGCATTTTGAGCTAAACAGATAAGACAATAACAAATTCCACTCACATTTTTGCACAACTAATATGTTATAATTAACATTTCTTTGGTCCTGGAATACTAGCCTTATGCAAAGCCATGTTACAAATAATAGAACAATACATAATATATAGTCAAGTAAATATACAAGCCTGTAGTGTGTACAGAACTGTATGGATAAATATTTAATGCTCAAGATGCCTCCTTTCCATGTTACTACCTATAAAATAATGCAAAACCTTTTCCACACGAAAATAGATCAGTAGAATTTGCAAAAAAAAATAAATATTTATATGACAATATTACTGTATATCTAACTGATTCACAAACTTTCTTACAACCTGGTGATATATGTTTGCCCATAGAGTGTACATCTCTACATCACTAACAGGGAAAACAGCACCATCACTTGGTAACATTTCTCAAGTCTCGAGTAAAAGGTTTACATGTTTGGCAACACAATCACAACAATTTTGTAAATATTTAATCTAAAAAAAAAAAAAAAAAGCTTGCAATCATGAAATCAATTACTGAAATTACATACAATCATTCCTTAAATTTTGTTTTGGTAATAATTTATCAAACTGGAAATTAAAGCTACTAAATATTCCCATAATGGTCAAAAATATATATAACATGTATATATATACCAAGTCAAAGGTATGAGCTTATCACCTAGGAATGGATTAGCAGTACTCTAAATCAAATTGATTTTTCCTTAAGAAAATAAGTGTTTTAAAAGCCCCACATTGCAGCACGGAGCGCCATGTCATATGTCTTGACAGTGTCAATACATAGAGCAGTTGTATGCATGTACTTCAATGCATGTTGCTGAATGAGACAGGAATACAGAGTAAACTTAACCTTACAGGGAAAAATGGATTAGATTTCAGAGCCTTAAACTTAGTTTGTTTACAATCTTCACAATAAAATACCTGTTCCCATATATACCTGAATAAACTATAAATATATGCTACTTACCCATAATGCAGATCATCTTTGCTTTATCAGGATATACTGCTATCCAGCTGCATCACAATATGATACTACTCTCCTAATGTACAAATTATTTAAAGATTCTACCTTAGGGCATCTTGGGGCTTAATTTAATCCAAATGGGTGTCAAATGCACAATATTTGTAAGACATCACGAGATATTAATGCAATGTTTAAGCACATGGCATAACGAGGGTGCGAGGAGACACCACAATACTGACAATACAGTAGCAAGAAACGTGCACCAAAAATCACAGTTTTAGAGCAATAAGCTCATTTTTCGCAGTTACTTGATTACGAAGCAATTACCGAAGCACTGGAAACTAACTAAACTTCAGACTTGTATATGAAAATTTTACAAAAGCCTGTGACCACAGAGTAATAGCCCATAAAATGAAAACTTTGGGAATAACAAGTAGGGAGGTGGATTTAAAATTATCTAACAAATAGATTGCAAAAAGCCAGGAATCAAACAATACGTTCTGAGCCATAGCTCAGTCCCATAGGTATGGTCCTCACACCATTACTCTTTCTTATCATCATAGAAGATATACACAGGCATACAACCCACAGTTTTGTGTCAAGCTTTCCTTAATGACACCAAAATACAAAAAATTGGCCTTGGTGAAGACAACAAAAATTAGAATCATATCAAAAAAGGTCTTCCAATGGACAATGGAAAACAATATGATGATCAATAGAGACAAATTACAATTACAGTACAGTACTGTATTGAACTTCAGTATAAAAATAAAACTTTAAAAAGGGGTCCAAATACAATCAGATCTCTATACACTAATACATGCGAGATAAAAAAAAATAAAGTGTAAAACAAACAATGTTTGTTTTATATTGTTTCTAACGTGGCAGTTATTGCCACATTGCAATCCCTCATCATTCACCACCCAGCAACCACAGCCGGCTTCTGCTTAACTTGGCTATTAAATCCACACAACTTCTCTGGCACACACATCATCTCAACCATGGCATGCAGAAATATTTTAGATATTCTTGCTGAACTGGATGGTCTTTAAAGAAGAAAATGTTTTCAAAAATTTGTCTTTCTTGAGCAAAACACTGCACTAAAATAGCTGGCACAGCTAGAGGGGGTTAATTATTAATGATTTATTGTAAATGTACTGTATTATAAATTGTATTATACAGTTTATGTGAGACATATGTGGCACCGGATGTGTCAAGCTCTTTTCCTCTGTGCCAGTACAATGTGGCTTCTTGTTACTCAAGAACTTTCATCCATTTTTCTTTTGATATTTAATTATTTGTGAATTGAAAACATGTCTACCACCAAGAGTAGTTAGGAAAACCAAGGTGGTGTTGACCAGGAGACTTGGTCCGAGACTGGGCCACGGGGACGTTGGTCCCGAAATCAATGCAAGGTAGCCGCAAGGAGTATGGAGAGTTATCTTAACCCCTGCACTGTGGACCTGCTACATATGAAAACCCTGAGGTGCTCAAGAAAAATATTCAAATTTTTTTTATTCTAATATTGTTACAATCATGGAATTTTATAAAATTGTTTTCCCTGATCACGGGATAGAAAAAAAATCAATATCGTACTGTACTTACTTTAGCTATAGTGAAGCAAAGAATTTTAGTGATGACATCACCAATTCATGATTAATCTTGCAGCAAATGCCCTCGAACAGGTCACACGAGCCATTCAAGTGGTGAGAGTTGCCACAAATATTTACTTTTTGCTTTATTTCAATATCATCAACTCTGTTCATTTTTTTTTTTTACCTATACTGTATGGTGTACTGGGGTCATAATCATTACTGATACAGTAAGACCTGCGGAACACTGATACACACAAATGTGTCACTAATATGCACACGAAAAAGGTTTATACAGTATTTCAGTAAATTACAAAACTATTTTTCAATGATTATACATACTTACAATTTCACACACATTATGTTTACAGCACACAAGGCAGCTTACAAGTGGTTGACCAGGCAAAGGGTCATGTATGGAAAACTTAATTAGATACTAAGTCTTTATTATACTGTACTGTACTATAAAGTATTATTTTATAATAAAAATCATTTTATATACAGTATACTGTAATGTGTGTTAACATGCATAAATATTAAAAAATTAAATACAGTAGTAATAAATCCAGATATATCAAAATATTAGTATGAATTTTGTTCTCAAATTTATGTACTCAAAGGCAAGTGAGTGAAGGTTGATGCAAGGTAAGGTGGTTCCTGTGTGGTGCAAACTAATCAGCACAGCAGTGCTCTCTCCCACCCATGCTCATCACGTGATCAACACTCCCATACAGTGCTTCAGCCTTTTGATACCTAACACTTGTCTTGTGCTTTACCAACTAGTGAATTACTTTAGTGAAATCTCCCAAACCTCTTGCAGGTTCTGCTTTACCCCCAAAATACCCCATGAGGATTCAAAAGGTATTTCAGCTTTTTTAAATTATGTAGGAAAATACAATGAACAAATCCACAAGGGCCGTGACGAGGATTCGAAGCGACGTCCGAGAGCATCCCAGACGCTGTCTTAATCGACTGAGCTACGACATGGTATAAGAATTGCAACCAGAAATTCTACTGAATTTACTTGGATCCTGCAGCCTCTCCGAGACAAACCAGGGGCCAGATTCACGAAAGCACTTACGAACGTGTACATCTGTCCTCAATCTTTGACGGCTTTGGTTACATTTATTAAACAGTTTACAAACATGAAAACTTCCCATTCAACTGTTGTTATTGTTATAAACATCCTCCTGGTGCTTCGGAGCTCATTAACTGTTTAATAATTGAAAACGAAGCTGCCAAAGATTGAGAAAAGATGTACAGGTTCGTAAGTGCTTGCATAAGTGCTTTCGTGAATCTGGCCCCAGGATTTTACACAATTCCCCCCATGCATTCAAGCTATGTCAATAGGCCGTTCTACCTCTTCGCCCTTACTTCATTACACACAGAAATCACAATAGCGTGATGCATCAAATGAACAAATCCACAAGGGCTGTGACAAGGATTCCTTCCTCGTCACGTTCATTTGATGCATCTGCTGCATGACTCTGCTGCCTCCCTTGGTCCTATTCATAAAGTGAAGGGATAATGCATACTTGAAATGTCATCATTTATAGAGTAGAGTTCTGTTTGAGAGAACTATAGAATCTGTTTGCTCCATACAAAATGCATTTATAGAAAAAAAAAACTGACAGGACAGAGCAGTCTACTACAAAGCAATATCTGTGCATCACTCCAATGTACATGCAGTCATTCCAACCCCCTGTTGTCACCTGAACATCACAGCAGCTTGTACAAGAAGCTGCTCAGAAACACCTGCTGATATTAATGGAGAGCCCAGTGAAACTTCACACTGACGGATGCTGCCACAAACACCTGCTAGTAATTACCTAAGTGCAGTAACAGGATAAGAGCTATGCTCGTGGTGTTCTGTCTTCCCTGCACTCTGTCATATAACACTTTGAAACTACTGACGGTTCTGGCCTCCACCACCTTCTCACTTAGCTGCTTCCAACCGTCTACACCTAGTGATGAATAGGAGGTGAAGTCCAACTCCCCTGACATGCCACCTTTAACTAATAATTAATGTACTGTACATTGCTCTCCTCATACAGTATCACACATCTATTTTATAGATGACTAGGTATTTCCTGCCTCTGTATCAAAGCCATACATTGCAGGCATCCACTCAGGATGTATGTGGACAACATAATAACATTCACTCTGAAAGCATCCCTAATGTTACCTGCCCAGATAGTAGGAACCTCTTGCCAGCACACCAGTAGGCTGCCAATATATGAAAATTATGAGATCTCACATTTTTACTTTCTCCATACAAGAACAAAATAGTATAGTTAACTGCAGGAAGCCTACTGGCCCATAGGGGCAGTTTCTAATTATATCCACTCAGACTCATTCATATATGTCTACCACATGCTTGGAACAATCTTGTGATCTCACACCTATCATGTAACCTGGTAATGTGTTCCGTAAATCAATAAACTGCTGTTTCCCAGCCAGTATTTTTCAAGGTCCTCACAAATCTAAATATCAAATTTAAGCCCATTATTTTGTGTTCAATTTTGTGTAGATAAATTTAAGACCATATTTGTATCTAGTACATCATTAAATTTATACACTGATAGTTATTAATATAAATATTGTACGTATTAAAGTGTACACAGTTAATGAAAACCATAATGTAATACTGTATACTGTACATGACCACAACAATATTAATATAGCTATTACACAATGCTAAGGGTGAGTAGAGTCTTGGAGGAACTGTAGCCTGGAAAAACATTCCGTTCACTATCAACTATTTTAATTTGTCGGCAAATACAGCATAATAATTATCAGACAGTTGTACGGTGGAACAATTTAGCACTGCATTTCATGTGGAAGAAAGGGAATATTTCACATTATGGGAATCCTCTAATATCAGCCAAAGGTAACTGCAAGAAGAATATTTAGTCGAGTGCCATGAAGATATGTGGAGTGCAAAATTCAACAAGCCAAGAGACTGATATGGCTTGGGCATGTTGACTGAATGGATGACAGACTGTTAACCTTTAGCTTTGCTAAATGATAGTGATCTATTCACACAAAGTTCTATAACACAATAAGTGACCAGAGTAAATTAAATTCCAAATCAAGTGCAGCAATGTCTGACAAGTTTCTCGGACCTTTAAAACAGGTCTCCAAGCCCAGTAAATGTTCATGCAACTACCTGAAGTATTTGTAGTTTATAACTACTTTAAGTAGACATCTTCAATTAAATCAATAAATTTTTGCCTTGAAATTACCTCTAAGCATGGTTTGGCACACCCATTAGGGGCAGAAACAAACTCCACACTTCACTTGCATTTGTAAACCAAAACACAAGACAAATTTGGGGAACATTTGTACATGTGATAGTGAACCAAATTAAATTAGTCCATTTCTATGTAGAGATGAACAAGTCTAAATATGGCTCCCAGTTTGTGGTCGCTAGAGGCAAGAACCATGTTCGACTTATCAAAGGTTTCCCTAGCCAAAGTTTCCCAGAAAACAGCCAACAACAATTAACTCCCAGGTATTTATTTCCTGCCAAGTGAACTTGGGCATCAGGAGTAAGCAAATGTGCCCAAGCATCTTATTTTGTCAAGAAATGCATACATTAACAGATTTTACCTAGCAATGTTCTGCCATGAGATTACATAATAAAGGCAATGATTTCCAAAGGTATGACTTGGTTGATTAATGCTCAACAATGTCTTAGGTTTGTTCTCGACTCAATCAGGAATCCCAGGTTCAAATCCCAGACAAGGACAAATGGTTAGGCACATTTCCTATCTCCTGATCCCTCTGTTCACCTAGCAGTAAAAAGACAAAGGCACCCAGGAATTAGTCAGCTTCTTGTAGAATTGCATTTTGGGGAGGGTCAGTAGTCTGACCTCAGGGAAGGGGGTCCTTCAATATAAGCCTAACATACTGAATATATATACATAGGCTGCCTATCCCCAATAAAATGAATTACTGTAGTATGAATTAAATGATGCAAGAAACAGCCAGCGGTACATTTTCTGTTTGGTTCTAATAGTGTACATACATTTTAACATACAGCACTTCTATGAAGTAGTACAAGCCTAACCGTAAAAAGATTAATTTTATCGGCTTATTTATAGGTGATGCAACAAATGTAACCCAATTTAATTAAAGACTATGAAGGGTATACCAAGCTTCAAGAGTACAAAATTTCTTTGTATCTGCATCTATCTTGATTCCATGCATTTAAGATATGGCAAAATTGACTGGCCTCAGCAAATAAAAGCTACTTGCAAGTCAAAATCCTCAAAACATATGAGGTACATATAAACATATGCTGCTAGTGCTACTGGTCAAACATCTTCATACAGTATAATGATAAATGTGACTAGACATACGATTAAGCAACAAATATGGCAGTTAAGCAGTCTTAAAAATTCCAACAGACAACACAAATCTCATGATGTGATCACTTCCCTCATAAAGACATTACATAAAAATGAATATTGACAACATTACCCCTCACACATAAAATTCTTAACTTGAAAATAAAGTTAAAGCAATTTTGTAAGTCAGATCAACAAACACACAGAAGCTGGTACCAGTACAACTGAAGCAAGTGCAGATTAATAACACTACAACTTACACTAGTCACGTACGATACAATAATGGGGTAAGTAAGTCCATACAACCATTAAGTTTACACCAAAATTATTGGGCGATACTTACCAAAGATTATTGTTGCAACTGATGAAAGACCTGGAATATAGAAGTCTTGCAGAAAAGAACTTGCATCAACTTAAATTCCACTGCTGGAATATGGTTCCTCAACATGAACTGCTTTTCTGCATTAATAAAGTATTTGACAACCGTCTTCACTTAAAACTAAGATTAAATAACTGATGATAAAATCAGCAAATATCTATAATATTTCTATAGAATGCAAGGTATCCAATCTTGTTTAGCTATCTTTCAATAGCTAGCTATGTAAACAAGAACTTTAAAATTACAATACATTGTAAATTGTATTTTGCATAAAGTTACATAAATATCCTATATGTACTCTTATTTTATTCTAACACAGTATTTGCATGCCAACCACCAGATCTAATGGCCTCGTTTGAGACAGGAAGGAAGCCAATGAGAAACGCCTTCCACACTGCTGTTATGCAATGTGCAAATAGCTAAAACATGCACATCACCATTATAACCTTCTATTTATAGTAATATTCTGCTGGAACCATCTGGAGAAGTGAAAATGGCTAAGATTCTTTTAGGTATCAGCACTTACTCTACCTATCATTCTTCAGGGTAAGCATGTACCTGTACCTCAACCTTTATGGTTTCCTGAGGTAGTAAATGAGCTGTATCACTTACGTGTCCTTCTGCAATGTCTCTATCCCCACAGTCCTCTTCTGAGGCTCCCTCATGCAGCTTCTCCACTTCATCAATTTGATCATCTTGTCCTTGAACTATCCCTGAATTGCCAAGCTCACCTCTAACATTTTCAAAAGCCAAATCCATACTGCCAATATTACGAGAAAATTGCTCAAGCTCAGACGAGGGACGAAGCACCACAGACGACGGCACAGTTCCTGTTGTCCCATATGAACTACGTACATTTGACGAGTTACCTTCTGGACCACAAGTTGAGTTGGTAGATGCCTTAGTTACATTGGAATGGTAGGTACCCAGTACTTTGCTTGGAAGATCAAACACTGCAAAAAAGAAGTATCCAAGGCCAGCACCACTCACTACTGCGATGGTGAAATATGCATTATATGTCATGACCACAAGCATCAGGATGTATCCTATTGTCAGATGCACAACGTGTAGGAAAGACTGCAGTATGTGAAACTTCACCCTGTAGAGAAAATTAAATTACATCAGTTTAATATTTGTTAATGTTCTAAATTATCTTAATGAAACTTAAAATTTATGTAGCCCCCAGCTGTGGTTTGTCATCAAATATCCAAGTACACGTATTGCATTATTAATACAGTATAGTTCAATTTTGGTTCAATCAATTTCCTCATGAGTAAGAGGAAAACTTCAAGGCTCATTCAATATCCTAAATTTAAGTCCTAATAAGAAAACTACATGTCCTACAGTATCAGCAGATCAAGAATACATGAAATTTTAACCACATTAAAATATTGAAAGCACTAGATTTTCAAAGCAATACCTTGCTAAAAAAAAAAAAAAAAAAATCAGACCTTACACTCATGAACCCCACAGCTCTGTACCGTGCCACTCTTCCCAAACACAGTGTACACCAATATTCTATTTATGACTAGTCTTATCTACATATTGAATGACCATATTGAAGTGTACACACTAAGACATTTAGAGTTGGTTGTAAATTAGTCAATACTTACAGCCACTCTTGCCATAACAGGTCATACAAATGGCAATATAGAGGCCAAAATTTATGTACGTTATTCTTATATCCGAGTAAAAGCATGTGTAAAGAGGAAGGTATAAAGCAGTTATATGTATAGTACACAACATTAGGGCAATATACTTATAAATAAACATACAACACTATAGTATATGTATAAATAAAAAGGGAAAAAGTCAAAAGCAAGGTTTGGACATTTGCTTAATATCTGCCAATGTGTGACAAACCCTAAACTGGCAGCACTACACAAAACAAGCATGAGCAAAACATCTATGAAACACATTTTAATAAATACAGTACAGTAGTTTTAATTTGAAATGATGAATATCTTCATGATCACTCGATATCACATTAAATTACATTTTACAAATTTCAGATTGTATTCAATAATGTGACTACCATTAAAAGTAACATTCACTTATAACAACTTTTTCAAGAACCACACAATCTAGTAACATACTGAAGTCCCACTTTGTGGTCTTTACACTGACCCAGTGTCTTTACACTGACCTTAATATTTGGATCACATAGTTTGTATTTTTTCTGGGGAAGCCCCTCAGTGGCCCCCCTGAACCTATCTTGATCAGACTGCTCAACTTAATGGGTCATCAGTTGTGGAAGTTCTGTTTGGCCTATCGGGAACCAGAGCCAAAACTTGGCCACCCTCAGTGCAGGAACACTGACAATTTACCACCCCACTGGGAAAGCATCCAGAAAGTCACCAAAGCAGCCTGAAGAGACTGTAAAATTTGTGGCCTGAGGAGATTGTAGGGTCTATGGCCTGAAGAGACTATAGGGACCCCATCCCTCCGCTATTTCCCGGTATCGGGCAGCCGGGGCGCATCCGGTCCCACAATCATCGTCGCCCCTAAATCAACACAACAACAACAAAGCTTTATGGACAACTGAAAGGTTCACAGAAAACGAAGCCTTGAAATTGCCAAACAACTCTGCAAATGATTCATATGGAACAAAGGATTCGCTCAAATTAGTTTGAAACTTTTTAGTACCGATTGCCACCACCAGGCAGCCTGGTCCCTCCCCTTCCGCCAGCTCCCCATCTCAGTTCTATTGCCAATGTTATGGTGGTGACTTACCTGTAGTGCTCCAGTCCATCAGTTGTGGACAAGCACCTCTGCTTCAAGGTAACTGCTGACCATCCTTGGATTTCGTTCGTCCTGCAGGGGCCATTTTATTTTCTTGTGTTCCTTTATTTTAGTATTGACTTCCTGTGCATTTCTCTCTTCAGCTTGTTATGTGGGCTTAGCTTTTGTTGTGAACCCATTAATACCAATAACTGCCTGATGGCAGCTATATGTATTACAGCTATATATAATCACGTTCATTAAAGTGATTCGTTCATTTCCCCTGAATAATTATGTGGAGTCATTTGGCCATTTCGGTAATTTGATTTCTATGAATGTTGCAGTTGTCTGTAAAGCTTCACTGACTTTCTGGTTGTTTTCTCAGTGGTGTAAGATTAATAGTCCCCACCCCATGTGCCTTTGTGAGGGGGAGGGGTCAGGTTCTGGCAAATGTCTCCATAAGCCAGACAAACACCTGTGACTGATATGACCCAGTACTGGGAAGCCACCAGGGTTCTACCAGAAAGAGGCACTGCATTATATTCCATTTTTTTTTTTTTTAACTAAGGCTACCCCTTGATGCCTCTGACATTTCTTGTGTTTAATACAAGGTTATTTTCAGTTCAGGGTCTGCCCTATCTGCTAGGAATGGGCAAAACATTCCATTGTGAACCAGCACAATCTAGGTGCTGGTCCTGTCGATTGTGTGAATTTTGCTTCCAAGACATCTTGTTATATGCTAAAAATAGAGTAAAAATATAATATTTCACAAAGGAATTTTCCTTTATGAACTAACACATTGTATGCACACCAAGGAAAAAAGCTCATAGTGCCTCTTTGTACAAATGGCTCGCACCCGTCCAGCTAAACTGAGATTGAAGCGTTAGCTAATGCCAATCATGATGTCATCAGTACTGTACAGTTCATGATATATATATTTTTGGGCAAAGATTTTGTCTGATATTATTATTATTAAAATAATAATTTATAATATTTATAATTTAAGAAATGTTTATAGTATGAAACTTTCAACATAAAAGGTTGGTAGACTACAGCCTGTATTTTAAGCAAATTTGTGCGCACCTCACTTTATCATACACTTTTTTGGCAAACCTGGTGTGTAAATTCAATCCACAGTGTTTGCAATGTTACCAAAGATAAGATTAATTGAGTCAAGGTTGTACTGTACTGTATTGCTCATACCTTAGCTCTAATAATGTAAAATATATACAGAAGCACCAAAATATATCCCCAAAGCAAGGACATAATACAGTATATCAAATTTAACACATTTTCAAAATTTTTGTAACATTTATACTAACAAATTAATGCAAGATAAAATATAACTAAAACCACTTTTATACATAAATGAAATGCAAAGCCATGATGAAAATAACTTATTCTCATAATCTTAGTTATGAACATTACAATTAGATATCAGTTAGAGTGTTTGCTCTCGGAAACACCATCATAGAGGAAGCAAAATGGGCAATTATTTTCTTAGTTTATTTTCCTACTATCGCGACATTCACACAGCGATGCCACTGGATAGTCTGATTCACTTCAACAATTTCCTTTCTATACATACTTTCTTTATAATTCATGCTTTGTCCTTAACACTTTCGTTCAGGAAGGATGTATATGATGTCCACAATTAACTCTGCTGATGTGCGGTAGGGATGTATCTGACGTCCAAATTTATCATATGTTAAAATTACCTTTTTTGCCCGATCATTTTGGGACGCGTTTTAAACTTTGCACCAATGATACCAAATTGATATCAAAATGAACAATGTAACGCAAAAATTGATGTTATCAAACTAAAAAGATTATACACACTTGTGTGCAGGTGTAGCGGGTGTGCAAATGCGTGCTCGCTCACAGCTAACTCTCGGCTGACTTTCACCTTTGCTGTGGGGGTGAGGGAGGGGGGGGCGGTGTTCGTCGCATTGGGATTTTAGATTTTATATGTATATACCCCTGTAGGGAATTCTATTGCAAAAAAATTGATATCAAAATGAACGACGTAGCACGAGAATTGAGGTGAGAATCCCGAAAAAGAGTACACACATTTTGGTGGGGTAGCACGCTCATGGGTAACCCTTGGCCGATTTGCGAGTTTGGTGCTGGTGGCATGCTGGGCTTTTGGACTTCATATGTATATATTCCTGTAGGGAATTCTATTGCAAACAAAAAGATACCAAAATGAATGCATTAACACAAAAACTGAGGTGAGAAAACTTAAAAGAGTATACATATTTGAATATGGCCGCATGCTCACGGGAAACGCTCAGTGCATCTTGAGGTAGGCTGGAGAGCTTGCGCTGGAGATGGGAAAGTGTTAATATTTGAATTTACTTGAGCCTTCCCCTCTCCATGTTTCTCCCCATTATAGTTTCTTAACTATGTACAGTATATACTTTCTGACCCTTCACTTTCACAGCATCCAAACCAGCATATTCAATGTTTTAGAAAATGTTTCAGGAGCTTCTAGCTCTGAAAGTTCTAAAAACCTGTAAAACCTATATAATCAGGTGCCCAACAGGACTTGTAAAGGGTCCCGGTAGTACAGTTGGGTTTGTTCTTGATACACAATCGAGAATTTTGAATTAAAATCCTGTGCGGGACAGAAATGGTTGGGCACATTTCCTTTTACCTAATGCCTCTGTTCTCATAGCATAAAGTAGGTACTCAGGATACAGTCAACTTTTTGTGGGGTTGAAGCCTGGGCAGGGTCAGCAATTCGACCTGGGGAGGGCTCGATATAAGCCTAACGTGTATGAATACACTCTGGCTTCCTGTCCCCCCAACACAATGAATTATAATAAGACTTTGAATGTAGCCATTCCTTAAAATTTTGAGAGTTCAGAGATAAAAAAAAAGATGCCAGATATAGAAACATGACCATGAGTACAAGTTTGTTATGGTTGCATTTCACAATTTGACAACAGATAAACCGATTTAAAATTTGTATCTTCTTCATGCTTTACAATTCAGCACAAGCCAAACAAACCCAAGCTACCTGCGTTTATACAAGAACTTCTGATTTCTACGACCAAGAAACGATTCAGACATTAAGAGAGGCGACCTTTCAGGGATCTCGTATTTGTTGCAACCAGTTTTGCGTGATGCTGCAACCTTCAGCAACTGGGATCTTGCTACTTTGAAACCTTCTGCCAGTACAGAAAGGGACAGAAGTCCAAGGCACAATGACACCATTCCTAAAAGAAAAAATATGTAAATAGTTTTGTTTTGTTATATAAATAATACCATAATGGCAAAAAGTGAAAAATGGCATCAAGACACCGTGCAGTCTTCCTTGAATAGATTTCCCTCCAATCGATTTCAATAGACAACGGATATTTAAAATCAGACGGCATGTGCAGCAATAGTTTTATTAAATTATCTGAATCTTTTGAGGTACATATGTATGTATGTACCTTACCTGAATAAACATTTTTCTATTTATTTATTCATTTATTTATTTGTGGGCATACAGCACCTCAGGGAAGCAAGACAACAAAAGATTAAGAGGTGCACCACTTACCCCATGTTGTGATGATGTTGACGCCCTTGAAGAGAAAGTCACAGACTGTCGACGAGAAGTAGTAGCTCATGTGCATTTTCAGCTAAAACAATAAAAGCAAAATTAAGGATTGTACAGTTATACCCCCAGTTGCATTAATACTGTATAATTACAATAATTATGAAACATTACAACACACAACAGTGGAATGCAGCCAGACCTCAGGATCAGCCAGTTTAAAATTTACTATACATGATGGAGTATTTAACACCAAAATCAGCAAAACTTTGTTTTGTTTACTAGCTAATGTTGGTGCTAATTTTCCTTAGTGTTGTGCCCTATTTGGTTTACTGTACAATGGAACTTTCAAAGCATTGTGGCATTAATAGGCATTAAACCTACCTTATACAATACATTTACAGTAGGAGAGAGAAGTTTCATGTCAATATGATGATGTTCTCTCAATATCTAACAAAAAATAATTTGCTCTTTTGCTACATCTACATCTTATTTGACCCCGCAAGGACCCTGACTTGGTCCCGCAAGTCAGACCTTATCACTGCTGCAGTCGCTAGGAAATCCAAGGTTTATGTGAACGAATGTCTTACCAGATTCAGACAAAATCTCTTATTTAAACTACGTGGAATTCGCAATAGATCCACTGCTATTAAACATTGTTTTGTGCGCGATGGTAAAATAATAGCTAGGAAGACTGACTCTGGAAAAACTTATGTCATAACCACTGAAGCACACCTCACTTCTTTCCTGGATGACTGTGGGATATCAGCTGAATAACCAGAACATAATTTGTAGTCTCACATACAACCAAAGTGTACTTAAGCTCTGCCTTTCCTTTCCAAAGGTGTTTATTTTTATTTTTATTTTAATTTTTACTTTATTTTTTGTTTGTCATCTTTGCCTGTTTTATACTCTTAATTATTTGTTCTTAGTTAATCCCCTTGTCACTAAACCTAGGGCTTTTTATTACCCTGTTAATTAACCATTACTAAGCTAATTATCTTCAAGATCATTTTTTTATGATTATTATTTTTCTTATTTTTTATTTTACATTTATATTGTCAGTCTCTACTGATTTTTTGTGTTTTATTTTATGTAACTTCTGTGTCCTCCCTGGCTATCTATTGGATCTTTATTTTACTTCTAAATTGTTACTATTTTATTGTATCTGCTCTTATTCTTGTGTTTTGCTTTATCGTGTATCTTGTATCGTGATCCCTCTGCATCTCTATGCACACTGATATTGATCCTGATCAAAATCTTCTGTCTCATATCTATACCAACCAGCACATTGATCATCATTATTGTAAGTATTTCACAGCACACCAGGCTAAAAACAAACTCCAAAATAGCACCTATCTATCAGTTTATAACCAAAATGTTAGATCACTTGGTAAACATTTTGACGATTTAAATGCACTACTCACAGCACTAGGTACTAACCTATCGTTCATTATTTTAACAGAAACTTGGCTAAATAAAGACTATACCCAACTCTACAACTTAGCTGGTTATAAAGCCATTCATAACTGTAGGCCTAATAAAAAAGGTGGTGGCACAGCTATATATTACCGAGATACATTTATCTGCAACAGTGTTATTAGTGACAGAGATGACTACTGTGAATATACTTTTGCTCAGTTTACAATTAAATCCCTTAAATCCTCTTTGACTATTGGAGCCATCTATAGATTTCCTAATACTAACATAGCTTCTTTCTCAGACAACCTAAGGAATCTTATTATAAACAACAATCTCAACAAAAACCACATCATTCTGGGAGGAGACTTTAATATTGACCTGGGTCAACAAAACTGCTCTCAAGTTGACTATTTCCTTAACAGCATGAACTCCTGTATGCTAATCCCCACTATCACCAAACCTACCCGAGTCACTCAAACATCAGCCACTACCTTGGACCACATATGGACAAACATAACAGCTCCCCTTGTATCTGGTATAATCTACGACAGAACAACTGACCACTATCCTACCTTTCTCATAGCGAACATGGACATAACACCACCAAAAAGCAAGAAATTTTCATTTAGGCTACACAGTGAATCAGCTTTAGACAATCTTACAGAGGCACTTCACAATATTAACTGGGATTCTGAATTCAATAATACCCATGATATAAATTCATTAGCTAACCTCTTCCTCTCCAAAACTCTAAGCCTCTACAACCTTCATTGTCCCCTTCTTACAAAGCAAGTAACTGACAAAAGATTAAACAATCCATGGCTCACAAATGGCATTCTCAACTCAATCAACAAGAAACATGAATATGAAAAGAAAGTTAGGATTGGCCTAGTTTCAAAGGAAGTAGCTAAAAGGTACTCATCAATGCTTACCAGTATCATAAGAAAGGCAAAACTTGCATATTATGTGAATAGATTCAATGAAGCAAAAGGCAACATGAAAAACACTTGGAAAACTATCTCTAGTATCCTAGGAACTAAACAACACTCACATAACCAAATAAAACTCTACAAGGATGGGGATATACCGTCAACTGATTTAGAAATGGCAAATGAATTTAATAGTTTCTTTTCATCGGTTGGTGCTAATCTTGCCAGTAAAATCCCACAGACTCAGACACATATTAACACATATCTCTCAGGCAGCTATCCAAACTCTCTTCTCCTTTCACCAATCAGCCCGGCAGATGTTGTGTCCATCATACACTCTCTAAAAACCAAGGCAGGGAACACCAGTGAAATTCCGTCCATTGTGTACAAGAGAGCCTCCCATGCCCTTGCCCCACCCATAGCACTACTGTTCAACAAATCTATAGAGTGTCACACCTTCCCTGATATCCTCAAAAAAGCAAGAGTAACGCCAGTCCATAAAGGAGGCAATCCGGCGGACATAAACAATTATAGACCAATATCAAATCTACCCATTCTATCAAAAATATTTGAAAAAATTATTTACAAACAGCTCTATTCCTACCTCGTAAAATTCGACATACTCAGCCCCTGCCAGTTTGGCTTCCGGTCCCAAAAGAGTACCAATGATGCAATCATTAGTCTCCTTGACATTATCTACTCAGCCCTTGACAAAAATGAGTTTCCGATTGGACTCTTCATTGACCTAAGAAAAGCCTTTGATACTGTTAATCACAACTACCTCTTATTTAAACTCCAGCATTATGGAATCCGAGGCCTTGCCCTTGACTACATCCGATCCTATCTTAGTGACAGACACCAATATGTAACCATCAATGATACAACTTCTTCCACTCTACCAATTACCGTTGGAGTGCCACAGGGCAGCATCTTAGGACCTCTTCTATTTCTTATATATATAAACGATCTGCCTAATGTCTCTAATATTCTCAAACCTATATTGTTTGCTGACGATACTACCCTTATCTACTCAAACCTCAACCCACATACACTAAATAATGTTGTGAATAATGAATTAAAAAAAGTCCACTTATGGATGTCAACGAACAAACTAACATTAAACATCGAAAAGACTTACTACATCTTATTTGGAAGCAAATCATCAAATGCAATTCAGCTACAGATAGACAACATTAACATCAGTAATAAAAATGATGGCAAGTTTCTTGGCCTATTCCTAGACAAGAGACTCAACTTCAGCACCCACATTCAACACATAACTAAGAAAGTCTCTAAGACAGTTGGTATACTCTCCAAAATCAGATATTATGTTCCTAACTCTGCTCTCCTCTCACTATATTATGCACTAATCTACCCCTATCTTAATTATGGTATCTGTGCATGGGGGTCTACCACTGCAAACCACCTTAAGCCCATCATCACACAGCAAAAATCTGCTATCAGAATAATAACTAACTCTGCTTTCAGACAACACTCAGCTCCCTTGTTTAAATCTCTAAACTTGCTAAATATTAACTCCCTCCACACATTCTCTTGTGTCAACTACATTTACAAAACCCTGTTCTTAAATGCAAACCATGCTCTGAAACTCTCCCTGGACAGATGTAATAGGACCCATTATCACCACACCAGAAATAAATATCTCTTTGATATCCCCAGGGTCAAACTTAATCTGTGTAAACACTCTATGCAAATTAAGGGACCTAGTCTATGGAACTCACTCCCTAGTGAATTGAAAAACTGTAAAACTTTTGCCTTATTTAAAAGCAAAACCAAAAAGTACCTAACTTCATCTATTTAGTTTCCTACACTGAGCTTTAAATTTGCTCTGTACCTAGTGGTACCCAATCTCCTAATTTTTATGTAATATCAAACAACCTTATCATTGTGTTCATTGCTGTCTTCTTTTATGTGCTAGCCATATGCTGTATTGTGACTACCAATTTTTGTCAACTACCATTCAAGCCGTCATTGCAATCAATCTTATATTGTTTCTGCTGTATTGTGCCTACCAATTTGTTGTCAACTACCATTTTAAGCTGTCATTGCAATCAATCATAGCTACCTATGTGCTTTAATATACTGTACCTATAATTTTCTCTCATCTTTTTTTTTTTTCATTCCATGTAATCTGTTATCATTTTTTTGTCTATAAATTTTGCAAATATTTACCTCCTTAAAATTTTCTTAGATTAAGGACCTGCCCGAAACGCTGCGCGTGCTAGTGGCTTTACAAGACTGTAATTACCATAATTGTATCCTCACATTCCTTATGTACATTCTTGTATATGCATAAATAAATAAATAAATAAATAAATAAATTTGTTTATGAGGTACTGTATCATGAAAGGTCTTCTTTCCCTTCTATCATGGGGTTACAATAATTTCAAGATCTACAACCAGAAAGCTACATGGTCCAATAACAATGCAGGTGTCTTCCTTATACCATCATACACAAAGTTTTGAAAGTTCAAGCAGATATACAAGTTGCCGTCAACAAAAATTTAGAACAAACTAAAATTGTACAAAATCATATTTAAATATGCAGATAAGAAAAATTCCAAAATATTACCCCTTTACAAATACCGAATAATGTTTAGACATGCCAGAACATTGGCAGGCACTGCCCTCGAAAGATGGGTCAACAATCTAGGCTTATCGTGAGTCTCAAGAACTCTCCTTCCCCTCCATTGTGTCCACTGTGATACGGTAT